TATGAATGATCACTCGATCTGGAATCAACACGCGTCGATCGATCAGACCTTAAAGGACATTCCACCGTTTTCAGTCATCTTAACACGTTCCAGTGCATAAGTTGCTTGGGGAACAAGTGCATTGATTGGTGAGGAAATTTTTTACAATTTGATGATCGAAAAAGAACTTCATATTGCAATAATGCACGATTTATGCCCAGGACGATTTTGCTGCATGTCAACATGGTTCATAATGCAAAAAACAAAGTTTCTATAGGTCTTTAGCATAGCAACACAAAAAAAGTAAAGTACAATAAAACAGATAAACACAAAAGCGGGGAGAGTTCAAAGGACCGTGCCACCGGGGCAAGGAAAAACTAACAAAATTATTTTTGTTGACACGAGGGGGCTTCCTGAAAACCTTAGCACTCTTGCTATTCTTGATTTGTAGATAATCCGAAACACCGTTCTTCGGTCGATTTGATATTGCGTCTTCAGAAGATGTTAAGCTATGCCAAATGACGGAGTCTTGTAGTTTCGACCGTAGTATTTATGCGGCGGAACTGACCTTGCGTTAACTCACTTTGGATCCAATTTGGAATAAGTTCAACCACCTGATTACATAATTGCTGCTCTGTTCTGCTCACGTAGGTCGCTACGCCCCCAAGTGGGAATTGGTAGATCAGATTGGGGTAGGCGTACAGAGGCAGATATTCTTTTACTGGGTGTGCGAGTATTCTATGTAGTTGTTATATGTGTTTGTCCGATAGACAATCGGGGGGGGGGGTCAGTTGTGTAGACGTTTCGAGCGATTGCCGATCACAGTTGGTTTTTTGAGCAAATATTTTACGCAATCACCGTTGAATTGAGGACCTAACGTTACCCGTGCTAAAGCCCTATGTAAATATTGTGTTTTCTGCAGTATTTGCAATATGTTGAGATGCAGCGAAATCGTCCTGGACATAAATCGTACAGTATTGCAATATGGTCTTCTCTTTTGAGATTAATTTCGGGAACGACTTGCTTCAATTTGACAGGTATTTACATTTACATTTAGCTTAACCCGTTCAACTGATTGACCCGCTTTAGAATTTTAAAAATAGATCAGCTTATTACAAATCGCGCTGAAAATATCTTTTTGATATTATCCGTCGCGTATTTGAATTCCTTTGAAGAATTAGTGTGAATTTTTGTATAATATTGCAAGGGAATTTAGTTGGGTTCCCATTTTCGAATTTACATCTGAACAACTCGTAAAATGTTTTTTTTCCAATTTGACTGAGGAGTGCATGCGCATTTGGGGAACATCAATACAACACTATTTAGTTTGTGTGAGCAAACTGCACTGTACTGCTGTGGATTCTTACTCCTTTTCCAGGGGATCATTTCAAACTGTCGCACTGATTTCGCCTCAGAAACAGAATACACATTCTTCTGTCTTCGAATCGATTAGGTGTCAGCTAAGATGGCTCAAGGGCTTCCGGAAGAGAAGATGTGCCACCAGACTGAGACCACTTTCCATCGATCATGATAAGCGTATTGTTGACGTGCTCAAAGTTTTATTGTAATCATGAATATGGGAACAGAAGGCCAGTGGGTTCAATTTTTTTCCGGGAGACAATGATGTCACGAAAACATCTATCGTTGATCATCAGGAATGTATGGTTGAGGATGCATTCTTATACGTGTTTAATATAGCCGTATCCAGAACACGGTAATCGCTAGAAGGCAACAAACCGTCCAACTCCATGCAACAGTCACTAGCTGTTTAGCACATAGTACAAACTTTGAGGTGAATCTCTTTCTGACCAAACTACATGGTAGAATACTCATTCACCTGCATCCGTCTGACAAATGACATAAGTAGTACGATAAAACAGCTATCACAGAGCTGTAAAGAGTGTCAGCCGACCTAGTTTAGAACAGCATTTTGATAAAACATAAGCAGAGCAATTTCGGCCCATGTTTGAAGAAACCAATCACAAAGCAGACAAAGTTACATTTACAGTCATCCACATCTCATGACAACCGGACACATTGTTGACCCACATTTATCGTTCTAGCCAAGGCTTTTAACTTTCAGCAAAGCGACGATAATCAAGTTACGTAATCCAATTCTGTGTGCAAAAAGGTATCTGAAGCAATCATTCAAATTACCGTAGAACCGATTAGGGTTTCCACCCCCCTGCTCTACCCTGCCCGCTCCTGACTGTTGACTGTTGAACCACTGTAGTCAGCTAAATTTTCTTATGTAAATGCCAGATTGTTGTACATTGTAGAGACTGAGGAGATTAAAAGAAATAACGTCTGGCAGTCATTGTCTTTCTTTTCTTCTAACATACACAAAGTACTGAAAACTAATCAAAATGCAGACGTAGTGCCGTTTGACAATAGTAGAATCATTCGCAGTCAAAATTATGAAGCCATCGGTACGCGCATAGAATGAGATGGTTTCAGCCCTCAGGTCACCTTGATCTTAAACCAAGATATTATTGTTTGGGTCACGTGACGATAAGGCAACATGGTGTGACACGTTTCCGATGAAACAAAGTCAACGAAACAGACCTAAAAATGGAAATATGATCATCTCCGTTCGTATCTACATGTATTTCCCTAAAACTTGGACGAGTAATCTTGTCCGATCTTCATCTATTTAATAAACTAATCCCATTCATGTACATCACCTTTATCAACCAGTTCATAAATGTAGACGATTGATGACGTGATTAAAAAGCAAGCCTGTTTCTAACGTGAAATGTTTCTACTGAAATTAGGGGGGAGGGGTCTTCATTATTTCAGCTTCTTCTAAATCGCTGAACAAAAATGTGACTGACGATTCTCCATACACATACGTAGTTGTGGATTCTGTGATTGGTGGCTCCAAGGTATCCATCATGTGAATGATGTTTTGGAAAACAGCATTAGAGTTGATGAGCAGGGGGATACAGTTTGAATAAGTGGTTTCTGTGACCTGAGAGAACCCACCACTACAGCGTATTCCAAAATGGCAGCGCTTTTATTCGCGGTTATGTACTAGTGTGGTCACTCTCTCTCCTGGTGGTATTCAACCGGGCTATCCAACGAACAAACCAGTGGAAGAAGAACGATAGTTAGATTGCTTGGTGTATACCAACTGGCTGAAAGCCTTTTCTGTTCACAGAAATCTTGAATTGAATCCGGTGGTTGGAAGGATTCTACTATGCGATACGTGACATAGACAGCAATTGACCTACCCAGAGTATGTAGAACAACCACACCTGGTTGGTTGACCCAATCAGGTCGAAACAGTTGTCCAGTGCTTCCTGATTTTCAAATCACGCCTCATTTACACAATGCATTGACATATAATCAAATCAAATCTACCATTCCTCACATATAAGCCTAAAATAATCCTGAAATTGTAAGTTTTCAAAAGGGTAATTAAATACTTTTAAAGGTTAAGGGTACTACAAAAATCTGATTATCAAGATGCTTTATCCGGAAACATGAACGGGGTGCTGGAGATCCTTTGGCTCCATGCATTTAGGAAATGATTGCGGGCACTGCAATTTCCGTTTCCGTTTGTACAGTCGTTAACAATACAGTCTCGTGCGGCGATTGTGGTTGCAGTTTTTTGGATGAAGGAGTAGGAAAAAGATTGGAAAGCTGAAAGCAGTATCAAAGAGAAGGTGGCAATAAATTGGGAAGACACATAAGCGTCACTGTTTACAACAACCTTGGATGACATCGATTCCGAGGTCCCCATCCAGGGAGCTCAGCACAACCTACAAGACCGAGTCTCCTGGTCAGGGATTTCATAATCTCAATCCAGGTCTGAGGTTTTCCACTCACTACCTGCCTCGGCAAACATCACACGCCGGAGCAATCTATTCCGTGACATGCGTAACACATGCTCCCACCAATGTAATTTATGGAGGTTCACCACTTGCTCCAGTGGGCGACCACAATCAATCAACACTGCGTGTCTAACTCCAGTATTGCTCGTCCGGTTGTCCCATCAGATTAACGTTATGTTCTGTGGACAACAGTGTTCAGACAACGATAGCCTATTTTAGAGTAGCAATCTTGGATTAGCCCATTCGATTGTTAAGAGGCACCAGAAAATCTTGGGGGTGGGTTTCACTCCCTGGGAGATCGTTAATTCCCCAAAATTTCATGCATTTATATGCGATGGAAATGTTTGTGACAACCGACAAAGAGCACTGAACCGTGCGCTCAGGGGTAAGGGTTTGAAGTCCAAACCCGAACGTTCGCGATTTGCGTTCTGACAGGTACACAAAAAAGTTCACACTGCTGACGAGTCCCAAACAGGACGAAACAGCTGTCCAGTGCTCTTGTCGGTTATCACAAACATTTCCATCGCATGTAAACGATAGCCTATCTTTATCCGGTTCGCCTAATGGTCCGGCTTTTCCTTCGTATAACAGCACCGGCTGAGCTGCTGCACCACATACTCGACCCTTCACGGATAGCCGGTTGTCTCCACAGGTGTTTCATGTTTTCAAATCCCAATCGAGCCTTTTTTTATCCGAGCCAATACTTCACCGCGATTTCGGACAAAATTGAAACCATCTTTAATGAAATAATAATTCACAGTTTTCCGAATTTATTCATTGATTTCAACATTCAAACACACACATTCACGCAGAGTGAAAAAGTATCAAATAAGGATTCGGTTATTTGCTTCAGAAAAAAACAAAACAAAACAAATACTGAACACATGTGACATCATTCTAGTAGATAATGGAATAGTTATTCTGTTTGGACAATGTGACTGAAAAGTGAAAAAAAAATAGCCAAGGCATTGCAAATAGAAACTGTCTCTGATCACTAAAGCTGTGAAAGTTATAAAATGCTTGATAATGTGTGAGTCAAAAATAAAATAAAATAGTTTGGGTTCTTCAGCATTGATAAGAAAATATCAAACCTTGCACCCACGGATGCAGACTGTGTTACAATCAAAAATATGTATATATTTATCGCTCAGTGTTTTCTAATTGTTATTTTCCATAAGTGACGGTTCATTTCTTCTTTTTCTTCCCACTTTTTTTCGCACTTTTCTTCCCCTTGCCTTTTTTCTTTCCTTTGGATTTTTCTGCCTTGGCTGCTTGTTTTTCAATCTCTCGTTTGATGGCAAACTGGGGCACCATCGGGACGGTTCGTGTTTGAACCAAGTGTTCCACAAGAGGAAGTTGTCCTTGGGCTGCATTGATCAGAATCTGAACAGAATTAAAACCACAGACAAGAGATCATTGTAATGAGATTGGGGCAAGAAGCTGTGAAAGTGTACACAGTTTTCTTTGAGTCTGTATAAATGAAATCGGGTTAATTTTTGATAGAAAGAAAACGTTCACTTTATCCAACTAAATATTCATCTTAAAAAAAGTGCATAAATAGAAGTCTGAAGCTGTGGTTGAAATAGGATAATTAGATTGAACGCAGAGTAACCATGGAACCTAGAGCCCATTAAAGAGTAATATGATCAAACGTAACTTGAACTTTCTTTCAGATACAAGTTTTTTTGGAACGACTGATCCTAGCGATCCGCTGATAGTCTGGGGAGGGATTATCAGCACACAGTAAACCACACACCGAGTATGCTATACAGGCTTGGAATCCATGGCTGATTCGCGACCAAAAAGCACTCGAATGTCCGCAGAGAACAGCAACCAAAATGGTCAAAGAGTTCCAATCTGAGACCTTCAGTGAAACGCTGCGAATTCTCGGACTCTATTCGTCGGAACACCGTCAAATACTGGGAGACATGATCCTCGTATATCAAATACTACATCAACCTAACCACCCGTGTAGTACTCTACTAACGCTACCCAGGAATGGTCACCTCCGAGGACATCCGTTTAAACTTCTGCTCCAATAGAGCCGGCTCGACTGCAGGCGTCATTCTTTGAGCTTCAGAGTTTGTCACACTTGAAACTCTCTTCCACCTCAAATTGTTTGTGCACCAATCATTGACTCATTCAAGTCACGACTGGATGAAGTATTGAACCACCTAACTATTCAGTACCCCTGAGTGAACGTCAGAATTTACTATTCAACGGTACTACCAACCGAACCCAGTGTGAACAGACCCTATGGGATTAAATAAACTTCAGTTTTGTGATTTACCCATAATAAAATTTTGAAGTTCAATTTAAAAAGAACATTTGAAAACATCTTTTTCTGTAACTAACCTGTTTTGAGGACCTGTTTACAATAATGAGCAAAACATTTTCCGGACTAAAAATAACTCTTTATGCAAGTATTTTTATCATTTATTTCCATTGGATGACCATAGTGATCGCAAGGTCTGAACGGGATTTTACAGGTACCGGCTATCGCGGCTGAACAGCATCCCAGATCAAAGTTTTATTGAGGAAATACGCACAAGCGGCTGCCCTCTTTGTCCCATAGGGTTTTCGTACAGGTGGATCGGTTTACGGATCACAGAGAGAGAGACAGAGAAGGAAAGTCACGAATCGCCATTATTTTTGCACAGTATGGATGTTGAAATTTAATACATGAAAATGTTTCATCCAGTTTGTGCTCAAAAGACTCAATTTTGGGCCCATAAACAACGTGAGGTGGTATGAAACTCCAAATACCGCACACGCTGACGGCAAGTGAATGACGCGGACATTTTAGTCGATAGTTTTGGAGCACTAATTTGAATTAATGTCCCCTGAGGTGAATGCTGGGCGAAAAGGTGAACAGTGAACGACAAGGATAATCAGGGTTTTGCATTATTTGATACACTAAAATCACGTCTTCTCGAATCCGGTGGCACTAGGTGCAGTACAACCCAGAAAACCGAATTAAGGTCGTCGATAGTTAGATTGTTTTATGCTTAGTGGATGTGAACCATTTAGTAATTGAGGCAGAAATGACATCGTTTGTCAACTATTTATATGATTGAGACAGTAGAACCGATTGAAATGTGTATAGATTATTCCCCTGCATTTCACAGCAGCTCACATGTGCTTTTAGTGTCCGGTATAAAAGACATGCGTTGAGAAGACTGTCTAACAGAATATCAAAGCAATATTCGACCTCTATTTACAAAGGTTAGGGAAAACTATCAGAAGACAAATTTTTCAAGATCTGGTGAACAAAAGATTGATTTACTCATTATTGTCCTCCCAACACCTCACATCAAAAAGAATTACGTGGGAAGTTTAATACTGTGGTAGGATTGGTGATAATCTTTCATAAGAACCATATTGGAGCGACGGCTGACAAGAAGCACTAGTGTTAATTACTTCCGATGGAACATTTAGTCTGCGTAATAGCTGCATTTCACGAGCTTCGCCCCCATGTGATTTAAGATTGGTCTCGGTTGCATACTGTTTCATGGAGCGCGTGAGGAATCCTCAGACGATGAAAGTGGCCTCATAAAAGAAGTACTGCAAGCAAACGGATTTCCAATTGCATTCATCGCCAGACATTATAAAGCAACAGTAATAGTAGATGAACCAATAAATGACCCTAATGCAAGCTTTAATAAAGTTGTCATACAAAGACGATGGCCTGGATGAACTAGTCTGCCAATGGTTGAACTCCGTCATTAAGCGCGTCTATTACGCAATTGACCCGGTCATCCTCTTCATTACAGCTGGGATGCCAACGTCATCAGCCATTGTATATCTCCACCAAATCAAATTGCATTTACCATTTCCAGATTGGATCGGCCATCTAGATAGGCAGGAGCGAGAGACAGTTACGTCGCCGAATGGTCAAACACATCCCGATGTGGCTTACGAGAGAGATGGATAACAAGATTGAAACGGTTACATCATTGAATGGGCAGAAAAGACTCAGATCTTCTATGGTTAGAGACGCTGAGAGATATGGCGCAGAATAGAAGTCGGTGGCGCGAATGCTGTCGATCTGTCTATCGAGATGCCGCGTGCATTAAGAAAAACGAAACATCAAACAACAAAAAAGTTGCAAAAGGTGTACGGTGAAACACACAAAAAAAAAATTCTGTTATCTTGTATTTTCCATGTTTAACTATCTCACTCACTTTTCCCCATGTTCTGTTCTTAATCCACCTATCCCCTTCACTGTCATTGTTGTTGCGTTGGCACCATGCTTGTTTTCAAGCCGGTGGTAAATATATATATATATTACAGAACACCTATTGGAAAAAAACATTATGGTGCTTCAGCCCAAGTATTTCAGGTCATCTACAACACAGCAATCAAATAGTTACTGAAGTTCGGCAAGGTTCTAACCATTCATAATTAAAAAAACCGATCTATGCAAACAATGTGATCACACTACTTCTGTCTTGATGACTGACCCCCCTAAACTCTTTCGTTTTTTGTATTGTTTGCCGTAGTAATAAGCGATCTGTTTTCGGTCTTAAGGTTGTTATTTCATTGACTATAAAAAATCAATTTGACTGCACGTGAACAGATGCAGCGAAATGGCAACAGGTGCATTGTACAAAGTCATCTTTCTGACTTCTCTATCCCAGTGTGCAACAGGAAAACAGTGTTTTCAATTCCATTTTTCGGGATTATAAGAGACTTAATTTCCGCATTAAACCTGCTGATCAGTGACGCGTAGAGTCTCGGATCAAACACAATGAAAACCGAGACTGTCTATTCATAATGGACTGTTCAAGACTGGCAGGAGTCTGTGCCTGCACTTACCCTCTGTGGTGATCAGCTGGAAGTAGTTGAGAGCTTTAAGTACCTCGGGTGCTTGATTGCAGCTGGTGTTGGTGTTGAGGAGATCACATCACGAATAGCGGATGCTAGATCAGATTTCGCTAACCTGCGACACCTGTGGTGCCACTATGGCACCCGACTGACCCTTAAGGGAAAAGTGTACACCGCCGCGGTTCGTGGCGTTGGCGAGACCTGGTCTGGTCTGTCCGCTTTGAGGATACTGAATCGACTTTCTGTATTTGACCACCGATGTCTCCGAAGCATTGCTGGTGTCTGGTGGGAACACCGGGTGAGTAATGACGAGGTTCGTCGTCGTGTTTTGGATGAGGATAGTCGTTCCCTAACAGAATTAATCGCTCTACACCACCTCCGATGGCTCCGTTACGTTATTATTGTTGTGGACTTTGGTACCATGCTTGTCTACAAACCGGCGTTATATATAAATATATACATGATAAAATACGTAGAACTCCTGATTTGTGAGGTATCTGAGTTAGGGCAGTGGTCCAAGCAATTTCAGATATAAGTGCATCCTGTCAGAATATGACAGTGCTCGGCTGTATCAAAATGCAGTGCAACGTAGAATGAAATAGTCTGAGTCTAGCTTGGATAGTCGGTCAACATATGAAGTAAACTTAATTAGTGATGTACATCTTTCTAATGCGGTTTAGTGGTTTTTACATACTTTGAAANAATTGGATAAATTTTAATAGCATTTTTTGCTCTCTAAACCAACTGAAAAATTGAAGGATCGAACTAAAATACACTGTACAACTGGCATTTTTGCCAAACTACCACCCTGCACCACAGTAGAAGAAACACAATACATAAAAGTGATCGAGTGATTAGTTGACAGTGTTTATTAGTCTTTTCAGTTCTGTAGGTATGTCTCAAGATTATATCGTATTTAGAGTCTAATGTTTGCGCTCATTGTTAAAGTATGNATGTTCTAAGCAAGGAAACAAATAGAACAAAGATGCCTCGTCCTCAGTCCAGTGTCGAAAGAACCCCAACTGGAATAAGTATTTCAACTAAAATTAGCAAATCCAATCCACTAACCCATACCTGCCAAGTTTCCGAACCGAAAGGAGCAAAGTCGACCGGTTTGCATCCACTGGCACATTCCACATTCACATCTGCACCACTCATGACCAGAAATTTCACCAACAGTTTGTGATTACCTATAGAGAAAAAAAGTTATTGGGAAGCAATTCAATCGGGAAATTGCCAACCTTTAGCAGCCAGATGCAGCGGAGTTACGTGATTTCCATCCATCACACCGGTCAACGCCTTGTTAGCGACTAGCAATTTGGCCGCCTCAAAATTGCCACCTGTATCATATGAGATAGGTTGTTTTCACACAGCTGGTTTACGAATTGACTTACTTTGTGCCGCGTAGTGCAACGGTGCACGACCAAAACCGTCCAAAAAGTTTACATTAGCACCATCACCGATGCATTTGGACATTTGTTTCAAGTTTCCACATTTGGTTGCACTGCACAATTCCAACTCGTCCGGAAATCCCCAAGGCAAAGACATATCCGGTTTCTGACCTGGGTTAAGTTCTTGTTCTATGATTTCAGTCATTGTAATTACGTAGGAGAATTTGTGTTGCACGATGAGCTGAAATAAATAAAAACAAAATACTTTCCAAACGTTTACCCCTGATGCTCATAGTAAGAAAACACCTATGTTGATAAATAAATTAGTCATGCTAAGATGGGTCGATCACATGGCAACAGACGTTTTCAAGCATCAATTTTGACCGTTCTGTCTCAGTGCTCGATTGTAAACCGTTAAAGACCTACAGGATTAACCAAAACATTAAACAAATGAAAAAATGAAGTAACACAACATTGTGGGGGAAAAACACCGGTCTGACTATGAGTGCAATGCGATACAATTGCTTTTATGAATGACGATGTTAGTAGCTAGCTCACTGTTTGAAATTTCTTTATTTCACCGGATTTAGATCACAAATAAGCCTTTTGTGTGTGTGGGTACTGCCTCCAAAAGTCTCAGTATGATCGAGGTGGATGTCGTGGGCTGCGGCTGGTCGTCCTTCTCTTACACCTCGCGGAATGCTCCTACGTAACCAAGTGTCTCAAACAGACTCACTGCCTTTCCAAAGCGGAGGTGTTTCTCTACCAAAGTGAGAAGAAGAAAGGCCAAACTTTTGGGTTTTAACCGGGTCGGTGAACTACTGGCAATTCACCTAGGGGCGATGGCCAAGAACTCTGATTTCAAATCAGCTAAGAAGAGCCGTACGAACCAAAAACATCCACATCTTCCTGGTCGTGGCAGTGGTCACCAGCCTAACCAGGCATCGAGCTGTAGTGGGCACCTTGGACGTTTGATACCGTCCAAAGGGCGAATGATCCGATGAACTGGAAATTGACCCTCAACAGAGTGTGGACTCTGAGTTCCGTCATGCTGTTATGCAGGTCTGGCTTTCTAGCCAAAGGTTTCAGATGGGGAACCTCATATTATCCATCTTCCTCGGGCATGGCAACCGGGAAGTACGATGCCCACACAACCTACGATCACACTCTACAGATTTTTTCCTTATTTGTTGTGGCATATTCGCCAATTGTATGTAACTGATCACGTGGTACATATATATATCGTTTGGTTAGCAATATTCGATGCACAAAATCACAGTCGAGTTTTCCTTTCCGTCCCGATTAAAAAAGAGGAACAAAGTGATTCGGTGAGATTCGGAAAGTACAACATGACTGCTCCATCGTCTGCTAAGTTTTGGACAAAACGAACATTTAGCTTATATTCGCTAGATAACACAAAGTTGTTTTAACCGCAAGCCCTATAAGTGCATCATATTTAATGACAGTGGTTCAGTAATTGACTCATTTAGAGTTTGAAATTGAACAGTTAACATTGATAGGTTGTTTTTTAGGGATATAGTGACAAACAACAGCTTTCACAAAACTGTGCCAAATGCTGATTACATTCAAAATCACTACACGATGCATCTAGTATTTATTTCATCAACCAGTATCCCCGGAAGAAAATAAGGAACAATACTATCACAAGAAGCCTAGCTCTCCCCTAAAACTCCTCACGGTATGAATTCGAAATGGATTGGGACCAGTCGCCAACGTGTAAATCTGCCGGCATTTTCTCGATGCAACTGGATGCGTGGGTTTCNTTGGACGGACAGAGTACGGCCACTTTATTTGTGCATTCCCTCCACCGCCGCCCATTTAACCCCCATTTCGAATGAATGTCTGTGCTGTGATGAACTCTATAAATATTACAAGTTTCTCCCTTACTCAACTCATGTTTGGCTGGTGCTACCAATCAAAGCTTGCACTGTTTGCGACTGTCCTTTAACTGGATTCGTTGGGATATGTATCATGGAACCAGAATCGGTGATAATTTTGGCGAGACACAAAAAAATGGCCACAGGAAACTAGGAAACTTCAATGAATTTCACGGGCAGACCAGATCCAACGTGTGCTAATAGAGCAACGGAATAAAATGGAAGCCCAGTTGAAACGGATCGAATCCTGAATACAGCGACTCAACCTGCAAACACCAGATCCACTTTCGCGTGAGCTGTAGTCTAGCTTCACTGAACTACTTGCCAATTCAACCGCTGCACGCAACTATGATCCTGAAACTGGTCACACATTTGAGGCTTAGTTCAAACGCTGGAAAGACGTGTTCGAAACGGATTTTAGTTGTCAAGACGGTAAATTTAAAGTGTGCCTACTTGTTCGGAAGCTTGGAACCAATAAACATTGCAGATTTGTTGACTGTATTTTTCCCAAAATATCCGAAGATTTGAAATTTAATGAAACTGTGACACAATTATCAGAAAGCTTTGATGAGTCAGCTTCTTGTTCAGTATTTGATACGAGTGTCTGAAAGTTGTTAAACAATATGGAGAGGATTATGGCATGCTTGTAGATCTAGTTGATCGTTAAAACTTCGATCATTGATTGATGACCGATTCAAGTGCCTCATTTTCATCAGTGCACTGCAAAATCCACAAGGTGTTGACATTCGTACCCGTTTCCTATCCAGACTTGATCAGGACCCGGATATGAATCTGAAGTCTCTTATGACAAATTGCAAACATGTACTCTCCATAAAGTGTGACACCGCGTTGGTCGAACAGATAACTTCCGCAGCTGACCGCGACCAAATACAGTGCCCAAGAACCAGCCATCCGTGACGAACTACAAATCCCCGAAACGCTAAGATGGCCTGCAGTGGTTTGTAACACGTTCACCATTTAACGAGTCTTTAAGGCGTTTAGTGGAAAATCTCCTTGAAAGGACTACTCACAAATCTTGAAAATGTCATTATATTATAAACTAGTCTACGCGGTTATCAACCAGATTAACGTCTTTATTGCATAAGATTTACGTACTTTTCAACTCCTACGGTATACAATTGATGAACATAAAAATAGAAGGATTACTAGAGTGTATCTCCGTGTGTATCCACAAGTTTGTGTGCCTACATTTAATGAGGATCTTTGTGTTGTCACTGCATATTTACGAACTGTCAAGAATGCTAGAAGCTATTAGCAAAATGTCTGAAGCAGCATGACTTCCTTCGGACAGTTCTCTGGCTGTCCCGTAGTTATGGGACAGTGAATCTATAATTTCATGTTCACTTGGTCTATCGTTCTTCACTTCAACTAAGACTGTTATTTTTATTGTAGTAACTTCTGCGGGTATATAACCTACATTGCAGTTAAGAAATACAAATTTATAGGAGGGAGAAAAAGATTTAAGTCAGAAGACTGCTAACAAAGTCTGTGAAAAACTGTTCTTTTTAAACTAGAATACTTGCTTAAAACCGTACCGTAGAGTTACAATATATGTTTATTCGAGAAGAAATACGTTATTGGGATCTAGTTGCCGAACGGGGGCAACAGGAAGTTAAATCTGTTTGTAGTGGATGTGTGGAGTTGATAAGAATCTTAAGTGCAAACTTTTCACATGCATTTAAATAACGTTCGCACAGGTTAGTCATCAACACCTCCAGCGGGATTAAAGAGACACGGCTAATAATGGTCAATCCACATCAAAGCCGTTTAAAATCTTTCTTTAGGAGACTGGAAAAAATGACAGGTGAACAATAAAGTAAAACAGAGAAACACACTGGTATAAGAACTTGGAAACAATCGATTGTTTAATACGAAATTGGCAACATTTACGGATATGAAAAGAAAGTTGTCTAGGCTTACTGACGATACTTTGAATGTGAGAGGTTTAATAAAGATTAGCATCGATAAAAAAGATCCATATATTTATTACAGCTTACTGGGATACTGGTTCAGAGCCAGATTCAGATGGGAAATAAGAATGAAATAATGTATTGAAACATTTAAAACATTTGAAGGGATTGAGAGTGAGGCCGAATGTGGCGGAAAATTATTGAACGATTTCCAATTTGTCCAAAAAGTGTGAAAGACCAGAAGAATTGAGGATAGCCTGACATGAAACCACACCGTTAGCTTATTGAAAGATAGCAGTAGGAACGCTGTCAGATAAGTCACTAATTTATCCAAACTAACGGTTTAATTTTTTCAATTGCATAAAATTGTCAAGCATAAAGCTAACATTTACGGTGAATAAACAGAGAACGAAATATAGCTAAAAAGTGGTGCAATTCAGAGAAAATCAGCATTCAGTTCGGCGGCGACCAGGTCTTTCATTCCGTACAGGTTTACTCCAATGGTAAAATAGCCGTAAAAGGAGCTAGTTCTAGCATTGAAACGGTATGCCAAGAGATGCAAGGTAGTGTGCGCAAGTGTCGGTCTTTTCACTCTCTCATTGTTGAAGAAGAACAGTTTCAGTAACTGATTGTTTAGTCAATACTGGCAAAGAACATACATTTGGAGAGCTTTTAAAAAGTTTAGTGACCATTTTAGCGAGGTGTTGGTAATGCATCAAAATAGTTGTAGAACAGAACAAGCAGCATTTAGGTTAGTATTTTTGTTTGGTGAAAAAGTTTTGATATAAGGCTTACCTTTTTACTGGTGTGTTAAACTGCTCTGTTGCACGTGTAAAGCTTCTCCTGCAGTCCATAGTACATAAACTATGGTTACGTGTCTTTGTCTTCTACTTCGATGTGAATAATAGTCATGTTTTTTTTATCGTTGCTTGTGAACGCTGGTGTGTTGTGTGCAACTATCGTGAGTACCTCATGTTATCAAAACTTCATGACTATCAGACACAAGCTTTGTTTACACATTAGTGGTAATATATTCATTCAGTTCAATTATCTTTATTGGTGCTGTCTTAGAAGGTTTTTCCCGCAATTGTATAATGCTTCGTTCTTCTTCATTCTTGAGAAAAATAAGAACGAGAAAAAATTTCTCACCTTCCATAAACAAAGGACGCAGTCCTTTTCGAGTCTCCTAGTATCGGGTTTGTTGCATGACTTAGATGTACTTGTTCTGCTATTACCTCCTCAGGAAGCGGTCTACTCGACGCTTGAACATTTGATCGCTTCTCTCCTCCGCAACGTCATCCAGTAACATACTACATCTGTTTGTCCCCCGCCAGAATAGGCGATAAACCAACAAAGATTCAACAGTGTTATTTTGC